AGGTCGAGAGATGTGGCCTTAAATCATATTTTAGTTGATTAATTAATGACTTTAGATTTTTGCCATGGTTGACACGTATAGAGCAAGAATTGTTTTGGTAGGTTAGTGATTGATTTAAAAAAAAAAAATTATAGGATGCCACGTATGGGTTGGTTGAGATATTTCTTTTCCCTAGGAATCATGGATAGAGACGTGTGCAAATCCTAGGTTGGATAGACTTGGTCCAACTTTGTTTCAAATTCAGTTTCAAACTTTCAATCACTTTATCCAACTAAACAATATTCTGCACGTTCCGGCTACGTGCCAACTTGAAGATCCAATTTTCATTCCTTATGTATATGATTGCACCATATGTTTATGTTCTACTGAGTATTTCCATATACTCACCATTTTTCTCTATTCCGCACAGATTAGTACGGGTCGTGTCGGAGCGTGGTGGTTCGATGTTGTGGTTGTGCCGGATTCTATGGATTCAATAAAGTAAATCTGAGATAACATGGCCGAAATTTTATTCCCGGTAGCAACTTTATTTTCATTGTTATATAATTTGAAAATTTGAACAAGGTTTTTATTTGTTTAGATTGGTTAAGTGTTTTTTTCTTCTTGATGCTGAACGAAAGTTGGTATTGATTTAAAATAAGTTACATTCCAATTGCTATTTATATGTTCAACAGTTCAAGATAAGTTATTTTTAAATTTAATAGTTTCCGTATCATTAAATCTGGAAAATGTCATGTCATTTAATTGTCTGTGAAATGAAATGATTGTTTTTCCACTGTAAATGAGTACTCTATATTATTAATAAAGTTTGATTTGTAAGTTTTGTTAGATCCAGTTATTGTTTGTATTATTTATTCATGCCCAAAATTTTTGATTTATAATAGAATAACGGATAAACTCGGTTTTCCTTCATTAATTAGGCGCTTCATTAGATAAAGCGTGTGTCTGTTCTTTTTTTTTTTCCAGAATACATTATAATGATGACCTTTATTTAATAAATGAATTAAATAACAAGATTTTGGTTCACTGTTGTTGACAATAATTTATTAATTGTTAGGCAGTAGATTGATTTCTTTTAATCTTGTATAAAATTTAAATCTAGTTGCATGTCAACCGGTACAATTTAAATAAAGGTTTTGATAACAATTCATATTAAAATTCTATAAAATTTGGGTCGTTACACCTTCCTTCGGCGGATTGTCTTGTTGACTACAAGAGGGCAGTAACTCTTATGTTCAGAGGAAGAACAATGAGAAGAAGGCTAGCACATTGAAAGATTGGAAGAAAGGGGATAAGAAGAAAAAATTTGAGGGCCCTAAAAGAAAGATGGTGATTAGTCCTAACTCGAGTCAAAGAGTTTAGTGGATGATTCATTTGCAACGGTCCACATAGTGCA